TTGTTATACAGACCGATATACAAGATATGTTTTAAAAGATTTTAATAATTTTCAAAGATCCTAAACAATACTGATATACAACGCACAAAAATTGTTTTATTGAATGTATCTAGTTAAATACAGGGAATCCAGCATATCGCAACTGCAGTCTGCAATAGTCAAACGTCATGCATGAAATATGTTGAAAAACCAGCATGTGAGGGTTTTGAAAGCTTAAGAACAATATCTCTGCACGTACCTCCACTATTGGCCGCAGAGATCACCGTCATTAGAAATCAAAATGATTAAAATGTTTGCAAGGGGCATAATACATAAAAAGGGAAGGATTTCACTAAGTTTTGGACAAGAGTGGGTGCCGTGATGCAATGACAAGTGCTTCACATTTTCAAATTATAGATTATGTTCCATATCAGTACTTTATAACTGTTTATTTGAATAAAAGCATAATTTAATTTTTATTACTTATTCAGGAAACTACTACTACAAAAAAGAGGAAAAATATGTAAATACTGATGAGATATATATCCTTCCCCTAACAATTACCATGTGACTAAATCTTAACTTATTTTAGAATCAAATAACCAGGACTCTAAACAAGTCATGAACTAATAAAGAGATGTTGCATTCCTTGTAACAAATTTGGCGGTAATCAATAATTACTGACATAACCAAATATTTGTAATCATTTGTAACACTAATTATAACATCTAGTAACCTGATAATGGCTGATGACATGCTACATTAATTAACTAAAAATGATAATTTTCTTTTTTGATAATCTCACTTATTTTCTTTAATTATTTATACACAAGAATTGAATATGTAGATTCTCTTCCTGATGGGGAGGGAGGGGTTGACTTCGAGTCTCCTGATTGGCTCTGAAAGGTATTGTCACCTAGGTCTTTTCCTGTACCATTCAGTCTACATTAATCCTTCAGTCATTACCACCCAATCAGCCAACATTTCCGTTGTGACTCTGCATCATCTGATGAGCCTGTAACTCATTCCCAGTCTCCAGCTAACTCAGCTGTGGATGTGCCGTCAAAGCGAGACAAACTCTGATTGTAGGACACGAAGGCATCGGTGACCATTGCCCTACACTATAACATTACAGCAATCTTAAAACTTTAAGACTACCAAGAACGACATACAAATAAAAAATAATGTTTGTTGTATTAAAACAAAATGGAGAATACCAATACCATTTTAATTATGTTTCATCAACTGTCCTTTTCTACTGATAAGTTATCTCATCAAAATTGTTATAATTTCTTTTTGTCTTTAACAATAAAAATGAATTTAAACTGTAAATCATTAAAAATAATGTGTATGTAGTACCAATTAATAATGATTCTTGAATAAAGATGACGTTTCAAGTGAATTAATTAATATCTCGTGCAAACAATATGTGAGATTATCAATACAGATTATTTGTTATCAAAGGCGTAAATTTGTTTTGAATTTCGTGTACTTGAAAATGGCTCAAAATTACGTATAGTTTCATCATTGATCAATGAATTCAGACCATGTTTATTTTTTAATTTTTTGTTTTGGGTGAATAACGACAATAAAAATCTAAGGAAACCGGACCGCAAATAGCGGTAAGAAAATCGGGACTTGTCACAGGAAGATAGTAGCAGCGATTTGATGCGGATACACGTGGCGAACACACCGCGAAACGTTATTTCGATTTTTATGATAAAATGAGCTTACACGCAGTATTATATAACACAAAAAATATACTTCCAACCATATTATGCTGTACAAAACACGGTAGTTAATGGTATTAAATTGCTTTTTCGTGTCTACCGTTATATCAATAAACACATGCGCTGTAAAAACCAAACCAACACGCGGAAAAGAATTTTTTTTTTTTGCGTTCTTGTTAAAAATCATAACAGTGGCAAATCAGATATAAAGTTGAAATATCATAAATTTGTATCACTCTTGGTAGCATCACGTTATCAGTAACAGACTCAAAAGTATCTGCCCACCCACATTACACTGCCAAGTGATAAACTTCGAGGCATTAAGTAATACTGTAATAGGCATACAAGTTGGTCATATAATTGTGTCGACTACGACAGCTTGTGTTGTGCTGTGCCAAATTCTCATAATAATTTCCATTGAATTCTCTGGAACAATGCTAAATACGTCCATAAAGGAGTTAAACAGTAACATACTGACGCGGGATGATTATAATTTTAACTTACCTTGGGACTCAACCGCCATCAAGGACTTGTTTAATTGCTTTTAGATTCAGCGACTGTGAAGCTGCTTGTAAACCGGAAGTGAGTTGCCAATTTGAATGCCATGTAAATCTATTATTATAAAGCATTTTCATGTCCATTATGTATAGTGTGATTGTACTATAGGAATAAAGACAGCATTTACAGTAAGTTTTAACAATGTACTGTGATAATTATCATCGGAACTATATATTGGTCTTACCATATCACCCTATTCTATCAGTAACACTACGCATACTGTCTGCTATTCCTGAGACGCGTAGTATAGATCATACTTGTAATTTAAATGAAAATTATATCTTAAATTGTCCTCATTTGTAAGGTAACTTTTGAATGTACAAAATACTGATAAGGACGAAAAGAGGGCATCGTTTCAATAATTGTAGCTAATAAAATACTGGATTGGTGATGTGCTAGGGAAAGGAGCTGTTTGTGAGAATGGATGCGAGAAGAGATTTGATTCGTTCAGAGGGATCATATGATCTGGCGAGAAAGGTATAAAAGGGAGCGCGAAAATCATTCCTGTCAGACAATCTTGATAGATAGAACTCATATTGTATACAAAGAACTCGAAAAACATTCCTGTCAGAAAAGTTTGTTTACATTGCAACGAAACTAGGAGAAAAATATAAGTACCGCTGTGATTATTAATGAGGTTGATTTGTTATCATTAAGAGGCCAATAGTACATAGTACTACATAGTGTTTAATACAACAAAAATACAATCACCACAGTTCAGAGTAAAGTAGCTGTTACAGACATGTCTATATAAGGAATTCTATTATATTAGAATTCATTCTGGATCTATTTTGTCTATAGGCAATTATATCTATACAGTACATGATGTCTCCCACCACACTGACTTCTGACAGTATAAGTGATGTATAAATGGCAGCGTCCTTGTAACACACACCATTATTAAAACAAATTGAACCGTTTGTGAAGTTTTTTTCATAACCTGATGAGGACCGCTGAAGACCAAGGCCAAGCCTGTTACAACACATCAAGAAGAACGAGGAAGGTTTAAAAGAGGCGGTATATTCTGTAGGCCCGGGCATTGATGAAAATCACAAGTTCCTGGAAGCCAGCCGACGTCGCAAAATGAAAGAGGGTAAAGAGTATGGGTTTGTAGAGGTCTAAAACCTTTCTCGAAATAATAAAAGGTTTGGGTTTGTTTTGAAAATGTAAGATAAAAATGGTCAAATTACCCTTGTTTGATTTTGTGGTAAGACATAATGCTACCAAAATTGACCGCCTTCTACCACAAGGCAATGATTCCCGAGCTGGCACTACCTGGGAAGGACGCCACCACAGGCACACGCGAACCAAATAAGCCAATGGTAATCATTATAAAATCAAACGAAGCCTTTGTAAAAACAAAGATGACTGTCTTGTTTAAGATAATATTTAATACATATTCAAAATATTTCAAATTACACAATGATATATACTTCATTATGGAAAGGAGAAAGATACCGTGTCACCACTGAGCAAAGATACGGCTCTAAATATGAAAAAAATATATGCTCTACTCCTCTTAGCTCTCTTCATAAAATGGGTATTGTGTCAATATCCGTGATGCAGTCTGGTCGTCCGCACACCCTCTTTTTATTCAGCACAACGTTTCCTTATGTAGCATCCTGCTTTAATATAGATGGGATAGTTGTATATCAGTCATGATGTTAATTTCCAATTCATGTTTCGTGTCATACTCTTGATGTCACGTGATCGTAACTTGTCTACTTTCGATTTACCCGTGTGGGTGACTGACCTTACAGATTACGTACACCTCATTCGATTTATGCTACTCGTTGTTTTCTTTTCCATATTCTTTTCTATCTTGTTTCTAGAAACTTCTCGGTTGACCGTGGATCAGTCCACATCGTCACTCTCTTCTCTGGTCCACCACTGATATTTAAATCTTGTGTAAACTCGAAAATAGTGTGCCGTGATGGCAAACAGATTATAGGAAAAATCTTCTGGCTGTATTATTAGAAATAACATTCTATTGACATTATCAACTTTGAGGAAATATTCCCCCAAAAAAGACATTTTCTACAATCAAATGTACAAATTATTACACGTACATATCAACGCACGTGCTATAGTAAAACATCAACTTTAAGTTGATGGGAACTGTTCGTCATTTTGATCGCATTGTCAAGTATCCTATTTCTTTGTGAAAGTGTTTAATGCTTGTTAGTTTGCCTGTTGATTCTGTTTTTCTCTATACTGTACTCATTTGGGAACATAACACTACTTGCTTGACGGATGTCAAGCATGAAGACCCTTACTCTTCCGGAACACCTGTACTTATTCTCTGAGTCTGAATGTTCATGTTAATGTTCAGATTTTGTCATTGTCTATTGAATGAGAGTTTACTGTATGACTGTTCACTTGTTGGTAATTTTTTTTTATTGGAAGGTATCATATACAACAGTCCAATTACTGTTTCCGGCCTTGTTTAATATAGCGATTATGTGATATCATGTTGCTAGACAAACGCTTCTCAAGTCTATCATCCCCATCTGACAAGTGTAATTATTTCATGTTGATAGTGTCGAATCAGCCAGTCGTGAGAGTTGACACCTTGATGTGATCGTCATGTCCTTTTTCTGAAATGTCAGATTTAATAATGTAATGTTTCATATCGTCAGTGAGCATCATTTGATAAATATTTGTTATTGTGCTTTATGTCAACGTTGTTTACAGAGCATTCAAATAAAGGTTGCTGTGATTGTATAGTCAACCAGACAAATCGACGTCTATGAAACCATAACCATGTTACGGATACTCAGCTTAACTGTCGTCTCCTTTGTGATTCTGTGTACAACATGTACATTAGGTAAGTTAAAATTGTTTCCATACCAACGAGCATGCTATCATTATTATTTTCAATATTGTTAAACGTCTTTTCAACAACTATGGTCCCTTAAACAAAGGCCTCTCTTTGTCTGCGAGGTGAGTGCATGCGTTTATAGAAACCGACGATGTTCGTGTAAGCGATCTTGTGATAGTTCGGAAAATATGAGAGTCTTACTACTGAAGCCATCCGTTTAGCTCTTTTGCTGAGGATTGCGAATCCGTCGTTGCATTAGTGCACAATGCTAAGCGTAAAGCAGGAGATGTTTGCCAATTACCTTCTGTACTGTATGTAGAAAAATCAAGACTGACATCTAAACCTGCATGTCACATTTTAATTCACTCGAATTGTGGTATATTTCAGAATATAAACATGAACTTGATGTTGTTCTTAAATTAAAATCAAAATTGCAAAATCTATTGAAATATGTGTCTAATGCCTCCCTATCCAAATTTGAGACTGTACATGCGTTAATTTTTGGTCCTAAGTATCACTGACAAATTTGGAAAAACGAAATATGTGTATGACGCAGTTTGATTCATTGGTTGGCTCTGCTAGGTACCATTCACTTGTGTGTCTTTTATCCCATCTACCTTATGGTTTCCTTGCGATTTCATTTTCTAGCAATGTTTACATGTGAAATCTAATAAATGTGTTGTCCAAGGGTATTGTGGTTACTAGAGAATGTTTTCGTGTTGCCTTCGGCAGTATACTTCAGTGTGACAGCGCTATAAACCTGACTTAGGATCCACAATAGAACAAGAAAGATTGCATGACTTCATTGCACCCTCCACACAATTAAAATGGTGAACGTTGAGCCGCCCCTACTATATTTTAAAGACTGATAAGTCTGTGCTAGAGACAAAGTCCAAAGCCCTCCGTACAGCAAAGAATTTTTTCATAAAATTGCCAAAACTTCTTCAGCCCCAAATATTACAATCGTAGGAAGTAATCAAAAGTCAGGTCACCACCTGTTAGAATCCCACTTTTTCTATGATCTGCCTTTTTCTAAGAGTTGTTTCCCAATATCTCGAGAAGTACTGGGATCGACCATTCCCGTTTTTTCTTAATCGTGCATTGCCCATATTGCGAGTGATGGCAAAATCAAATTGACAGGCGCGCAATTTGGATTTTTACGAATGGTTCGTTATAATGGGAAGTAGTCATTTTTAATCTCGTATGTTGGTCCCACCTTGAACCCCAGTTCTGCAGCCTTAACGAAAAACCAATATGGCCGACATGTGGCCATCTTGGACTTTATGTTAATAGTTATCGCTAATGCATTTTAGTGGTTGTCTATAATCATGTCAATCTCCCTTGGTATCATTTTGTCCATGTTTAGTGACATTAAGAATAAAAATAAGAGGTAAAAGAAAGGTAACAAAAATAAGCTAATAAAGATCATACCATGGTGGGCGACAAGATCCCCTCTGAGATATCCTGTCCTCTGCACATGTTTACTATGCAATATACGTAGGACCGAAACTAGTCTGCTAACCTTGCAGGTAGAATGTACAAAATTACCTGCAACTCTCATTGCACGATCGCAAGAGGCGATTAAATCTGGTCCAAAGTTGAATGTTCGCCCTTGTGAGATGGTTTACGGGCTATGTCCATGGGTCCCCAGAGTCTTCAACAAAAGACCATGGAAGGATTTTGGTGCCCTATTTTGTTTTATCTTTATGCTTTTAAAATGCTGGGTCTTTTCTCTCCTTTTCGTTCTTGTAAATTTGTCTCGAGAAATTCCAATAATAATCTTCAACTGTCAAATCCAAGATGGCCACCTGTAAGTCATTTTTAGTTTATTTTTCTAATCAGTTCCAAAATGGCCAAGGGGATTTGAGAAAAAAAAATCCGCCCAGTGTTGCGAACGAAAAAACGACAACAAAATTTCATTGTCCAAGATGATCGCTTCTAATAAATCGCAAAATCAAACGGGCACCAAACAGACCAATGGGAAATTACATCTGCTGGAGGGCTCTTGAAGTTGGCTTCATTTTCGCACTATCACAAGAAGGATTACATGAATATATCGGGAAGCCATTGCTTAATAACCTCAAACAAACCAAAGTCATATTCTATAATATAGACCAACATATTTCGGATAACCTAGAATTTCACTAATTTCGACAGTTTCAAAAAGGGTCTTTAGACTTGGAACTTTGTCTCGAGTAAACATCATATCCTATCTAAGATTATCTTCGCCTTTCATCATATTTGAATGTCTCATATTGTGTTATGCTTTTTTAACCGTCTGCCCTATTGTTTTGTGTCGGTATTATTTCTCATGATTTCTCATTCGATGCCGATCCTTGCATGTTCCAGACTGTATACGAGAAAATCAGAATATGGACAAATATTCTACTGAGATTTCCACATTAGTCGCCTCCGTTAATAACGTAACAATGCATAATTGATTTACTATTAATTCTCTTTATTTCATCTTAGACGCTGCTACTCAGTTTCGGAATTGTAATTTGTACTTCTGGAATGAGGTTCCGCCAGAAATAGAAAATGGTGACCGATTCTGTGTCCAAAGTGGGAGACTTAAGTTTTGTCGGAACACAACCTGTCCGAACCTGTCTTGTGATGATCCACAATCACCATCAATATCAAGTCACTGTCCATTTTGCCCAGGCAAGTATTTTTCACTCTGCTATTGTTTGACAGCAAAAAAACGTATTGGAAATTATTTTACTCGTGCCTTTCTTGATCAAAATTTGTCATCACGCCCCCTATTGCTATCGCCGTTTGTCCGGCGTTGTAAACCTTTTTTACATTTTCGACAACTCAAAAAAACCCTGAATCGATTTCCCTAAAATTTTACATAAACCAAAAGTTTAAATCATATGGTCCCCACTTCCAAGGGCCTGAGAGGCGGGCCAACTTCAAACTTCAAAACTCTTCTTAATACCCAAGTATGGTAGATTAAAATACTCTTCATGATGGAAAGGTCTACGATTCTTTACCAAAATAGCAAATTTCATGACCACATTTCCCCCTGAGGAGTGAGTAGATTTTACTATGATTTATATAGGCAAATGACATTTTGATGATATGCAGATTGACCCTGACCCCAGGGACTGAGAGGCGGGGACAAAACAAAAGAGTCCAATTGAGTGAAATTTCTAAAGATGTTTTCAATTCACTGAAAAAGTAGAAGGATGGATGGATGGGTTTGCCATATGGTGCTTTACAAAAATTGTAAATACCACGACCCAAATGTCTCATTTTGGAGTGGATTTAGTTAATTACAAATTATATAGGAAACTTAATTTTTTAAGCATAACTTTTTATTTTTTTTATTGGAAATAGTTTAAACGTGTTTAAAATTACTACCATAGGTGACTGCTTAATGAAATACACATAGTGATTTTGGATGAGGCCAAACAGGGTGGGATTGTATCAGATTTAAAAGATATTTTCAATACCCATATATGTTTTATTAACATGGAATGCAGTTTCTTTTCACTATCTTGACGTAATGGGGTGTCATGCTTATGCCTGTTTCCATTTCATCTTGATGCAAAAGCTTGTTTTCAGTGTTCACATGAAGGTTAGGATTCGTTGATCAATTTAAATCAGTGTGTAAGACAATTAGATCACATTCTTTTTGAAGTGGACAATACGTTTTTATCTTTTTATTTATTTTTACATTTTTTTGCTCTTTTGTAACTTTGAAATCCTAGTAGAAACAGCAAAGCCTCGGAACAAAAATATGCCGAAAATTCAAGATGGTTGACATTCTTGGAGCTCTCGCTCTCTTTAGTATTTGTGTCTTTCGATTCAAGAGATGAACTTGTAATATGTATCCACACGTGTGTACATATTTTGGTTTATATCTATACGTAATTGAACCAAAGTGAATTAACCACCAAAATTAATGTGTGATATTTCTTTTGAGACGAATTACCAAAATTAATGATGAAAATCAGCTCCCCTCCTGATCAAGTACCTGTTTGTTATTATGTTTTAGGTTAGCTCTGAGCTGTGTCGTAATCTTTGCTTAGAACTACTTTGGAAACAATAAATCGTTTGTTTCTCTGTCTCGTAAATATCAGAGATGGATTTTCAATTAGTTAATTGCGATATAAAGAATTTTTTGTCAACCTTTAGACTCATTTCCAGTGAAGTGTTATATAATGCAAAGTTTGTACACATTTCATACTTCATTTTTATCCTGATTTTGTTTTAATGATACATTGTTGAATTGCTCGAGTGCGTTTTCGTCATAGCATTGCTAGTGAGCGTTTTCTTCAGAATATAATTAATCAGAAATCGTTTATATTCCAACTTATTTGATATTTTACCTTGCTAGTAGGTAATTTCATCTAGATACAAACGTTTTTTTTCTCTGAATCTTTGAAGGAAGTGGAACAAGCTAACCAGTGATAAGTATTTATATATAAATAAGTCTAAGAAATGATAGTTTTCAATTATCCTTATATTGGCCAAGGTGCCGGGTGATACCTGATACAGCGCTTGTGGTAAAATAAAAAACGACAAAAACATGTGCTGGGAAACAATTTTGGTTAATGGTTTGGTATTTATCATTTTCATAGTAAAAAAAGTATCAGAATCAAGGAAAAATATGTAAAAATGTAAAATCAGCTCCGAACCTACAGTCGTAACCGAATCCATGTTAATTTATCGACCGTTTGATCAATAATACAGTTAACCGATAAATAATCTAGCAATAAGAATATGCTCTTGTGAAAAGTTCAAAATTGCACGAGGATACTTTTGAGAGCTTTATTTTAAAGGAGAGAATATAGGTCATTGCGCTCAGTTTCTCATGGCAGGTTGATGAACCTCGTTAGTACTACTATTGTATTATGATTTTGATACCTATCTTATTAATATTTTATGCGTTAATGTATGGTGTTTATCATCATTATTATAAAGGTAAATGATAAGCGGGGACTTTGTAACTATTTCAAACACTTGACTATGTCTTTGCCTAGGTATTGAATCCGAACACTGCTTTAAATGCCAAAAGCGATGCAATGACATAAAAGACATGAGCAAAGATGAAAAAGATTGTTGGTTTACAAGTTTGCCTTGCTGCTTTTGATGATATGAGATATGAAAAACGAACAAGGATTTTACATGGTTGTCTTGCTCTCATAGTTATTATCATTATCACAATCTTAACGGCCCGTCAATACATAAAAGGTCATTAGGGCTATCTACCGGTAAAAGCCACAACGATCCAAAATGACAAAACATTGAACAAACTAAAAGGTAAAAGACAAATGCTAAAAATCTGTAATGCTTATATTATCACAAAAGATTAAAATGGGCAGTAATTTCTCTCATAGAAGGCATAAATAAGCTATAATGAAAAACGGTAATGGTTTGCATGGATGTCTTGCTCGCAAAGAAGACTAAAGCAATGGTCAAAAACGAGAATGGATTCACATGGTTGTTTTGTTAAAATTGAAGACATTAGCTATGATGAAAAATGAGCATGGCTACCATGTTATCGACCTCTGATATAGTATCAAGTGGAAGTTGATAACTCTTCACCACAGAAATCGAAATTACTACAAGGTGGTATCAAAAGCTTTTGAGCATCAGAGCGCGAGAGCAAGATGTTTGGGGTTATAGAACTTTATTTTTCAACAACTGAAAGTGACCACGGGGACCAAAGACTTTAAATAAATTTGCATTACATTTTCCCAAGAATGAACCGGAAACACCGAGGTGCTCCGGAATGGCAAGCGTGTTCTACTCCTTCGGCGACGCTCGTAAATTAAATCTTGGCCAATCCAAGCAAGCAGTGTCACATCAAGCTTCGTATCGCACAAAGAATTCCGTGACCTGGGCTGGATCTTTTAACGACATCTATTTTGGAGGTCAAGAGACGAACATTACATTCCCACCTGGCGATAGCTGTGTGTAAGGTATCATTTCACTTCTAAAAGTCTACACTTATTTTTTTTTTCTATTTTGCAGGTCAATGTGTCCATGGTGGCAATGTATACTTTGTTGGGGAACGTTTCAAATGCGTGGATGGTGTCAACATGTGTACCTGTTATCCTGATAACATGCTAAGGTGTTCCAAATTAGCAACCAACGAGCAGAATCTGTGTTCATAATGCTTTTTGTCTTTTCAAAACTCTTATATAGTGCAGTGAATCTTCGGCTTATACCAAATATATATCGCTTTATTTCAGTTGACATCTTTAATGTTGTTTTTTTTTTTAAATCAGTAAATAATTTGATCTTTATGCTTGTATTCAGTAGAAATTCAACTACTCTATATTATGGCTACCAAATAAATTTGATACTGTACAACATTTGAAATTGTGAGTGGACTTTTTTAAATAAAACGGAAAACCGCTGGACAAATGTCTGTTATGGAACTGAAGTGATTTGACAATAACAATCGTCATCTTTCCAGTTCATTGATATCAGTCGTCCCACTCTTCGTTTTCAGTGACACTGTGCAATAGGCGGCTGGTTTTAACATACGGCTTCAGCGTACAGTATCATGCAATGTCGAGTATCAAGAAGATACGAAAGGTAGAAAGAATACACATGCAAATTTAGGGATGACAACGAATATTCATTCGGTAAGGCGGTATTCGAATAGAAAAATGATAATCGAATTTTCGTTCTCATAATTGTTAATTTATACTAAAAGGATAAAGAAACGCAGGGTGAACTTTAAACCAGAAATTAAGTATGATATCGGGCTTCATTTAAAACGAAATTTTGTATACTTACAGATAAATTAAAGCTTAAAAATTTACAGTCTGTATTTTGCATCTTACAATTGGTTTAAAGGTACTAACGATTAAATTGAATGGACCCATAGGATTTTGAAATTGAAATTGAATAAGTCATCAATATCTTGTGTGTCCGCCGTTTGCTGTGGTCACGGCCCTTATTCTTCTGGTCATAGAGTTCATGAGAGCGTTAACCCGTCTTATGGGGATGTTATCCCACTCTTCAATCAGAGCTCTGGTCAACTGCTCTAGAGTAGCAGGGGGTGGCTGGCGCTTTCGAACCTGTCTATCCAACTGGTCCCAAAGATGCTCGATCGGGGACAAATCAGGGCTATATGGCGGCCAATCTAGTGGTTTAATGTTCTTGTTGGCCAGAAAGACTTGGCAAATCCTTGCTACGTGGGGCCTAGCATTATCCTGCTGGAGGGTTATATTATGCTGCTGTAAGAAAGGGATAACATGGGGTCGGAGGATCTCATCTCTATACTTAGCTGCTGTTAAATTGCCATCAATAAGAACCAATTGTGATTTTAACTCGTGTGAGATTCCTCCCCACACCATTACTGAACCGCCCCCAAACCTATCCCTCTCTACAACGCAAGCGTCCGTAAAACGTTCGCCACGACGTCGGTAGACACGTTGACGGCCGTCAGATCGATAAAGACAGAATCGAGACTCGTCCGTGAAGAAAACTTGTCTCCACTGCCTCAATGGAAACCGTCGTGGAGCATGTGCAGCGATCCAGGCCATACGACGCTGACGTCGAGCAGCGGTAAGGTGTGGACCTACGTAGGGGCGACGTGCTCTTACACCAACTTCTCGTAATCGATTCCTTACAATTTTTGAACTTATAGGACGCCCATGATATTCACGAACATTAAGTGCACTGTCAACGGCAGTAAGGCGCCGATTACGCACATGAGAGAAGACGATATAGCGATCCTGACGTCGTGACGTTACGCGCGGACGTCCTGACCTAGGTCGATCGGCCAATCGCCCAGTTTCCCGTAGACGTCTTACAAGACGTTCTATGGTGACTTGACCAACGCTGCATGAGACCAGAACAACACGGTGCACGAGATTCTTGTTTTTTCCTTCCTCCATTTACCAGAGCTGCGCATTGTACCGTGACTAAATGTTCGATACATGACAAGGTGTAATATGACCTAATTACTCAATCCACAAAGTTTAACTTTATTTGGAGAACGCGTTTTCAAAATATCGGAATAAATATTACCCTGCGTTTCTTTATCCTTTCTGTATATCAACGTTTAAACTATCGCTGAAATGAATATGTTCACTTTCGAATAATTGTCCAGTTTTCATCCTGGTTAGATATGTTTGTCAGCTTAAATATGAAGGTATTATTGGCGTTCACCTATCGCCGGAGGGCCTGAAGTAACTCCTATCCAGGTAAGTTTCTCACCTCGTGCGCGTGGACATGATAAATGACGTACCTGTAAAACTGTCGTGAACATTAGCCTTGATTTATTTTTAGTCACTTTCATCAGCATTTTATCAGACCTTTTTGTGGGACGTTTATGTATTCTTCCTATAGACTTTAAACTGTTACGTCACTTCCTGAATAGTGGTGAACATGTTGACACATTACGAGAGAAAATCTTTACCTATTCCAATCAAAAGACACGTTGTATGACCAAGCCTTTCAGTGGTTTTCTTCCACACTTAATTTGAATTTATATTATTCTTGGCCAAATTCTTTGTTGCACAGGCATTAATTACGTTTATTACGTGTATACCTTTTAAACGGTTATTTTAATGTTTAAAAAATAATTTTGAAATTATTCATTAAGTTTTATTTTTTGACAACCCTGTTTCAAACTCTACATTGTGTTGAAAAATAATATTCACTGGTGTACTTTTTGTAGAGTCTGTGAGATAGCAACTGGTAAACAGTGCTGATAATTTTCATCCCACAGGTTTACCGCGATCCGCCTGCCACGGTTGGATTTATTCACATCGTGTCACGGAATAAAACATAAACATGTCATTTCCTTAATTTTTTGGACATGGTAAAATGACTATTGTTTATAATGCAGACTTGTAACGTTACGAAAAAAATCCTCGAGTAGACAGAAGGTCAATGCAGTCCAATAAAACATGTGTAACGGTGAACGGCTCATCACATTCAATGCACTGAGGATTATCTTTACCTTTCAACATATATGAATGTGTAAGGTATGTATGGCCCATCCGAAGACGGGCAAGGACAACGTCGCCTCCTGCCACTGAGCTGTTAAAGTTGTTTGATAATTCGTTTAAAATTAATAAGACGAAGTTTAAAAACGACAGGTGGTAGCGATAAAGCTGCTTTTGTGGCACGAGATGCTTTTGCATTGCATGGTATTCACATGTGCCCAGGAACCAAGCAAAAAAAACCCAAATGTTTCCGATATTTCTATTGCTACTACTTTTTTTATAGTACAGAAAAAGAGTCTGAATAGAAAATGTTCTAGGGCGAGGTAGATATCTCGCGCTTCCGCCGAGAATATTGAGGCGTTGTTTGATAGCCGGCATCCATAGGCCTCACTTTGTGTAACTATGGCTGCGGCAACCTTATCATTATCTTTTGAACCATCAGTATATAAATGTAGAAATGTTAAACATTTTAGCTGCAATTCCGAGAAGGATGAAAGAAAGTGGAAATCCGAATACCGAATGGTGTAATGGTTTTTTGAAACAATTTCTTATATTTTGGATCAAAAACAGATAAAAAAGCAGGATTTGAAGGATTTGACTTTAACTAAACTGTATATTGCAAAGCCAACAAAAGGGAGATAACGCAGGGTACCTTACAATAGTAGGGCTTTTTGTGCAAACTGTGCATGAAAATTATCATGGCGCAATATATATACGGTGTATTTATTTACAATAAATGCAGGATATTGCTGAAAATAGAATAATTTCTCAGGATGTGACACCTTACGTAAAATGTTCCACTTTAAGCTTTCAGTCGAGATGACAAGTAATTTTCTGTAATTTTGACAGAATTGGAATCGTGATCGTTAATTGGCGAAAATTCACCAGAAATGTCTCGAATTAAAAAGTGATATCGTAAAATTAAACCATTTAAAAGGTGTTCATTACGTTTTAATTCATTCGAATAGTTGCACGGTTCAGAATATACGTGTATACTTCATGTTATTCTAAAATCATCAGATATATGAATATTACGAAATTTAATCAATTATTTGACTTGTGTTCCTTCCTATCTGGATTTTGACTTTTCTTTCTGTCACTTTGGATTTTCCTTAGTACTAATTATTATTTCTTGATAATTTGAATCATTGTCAATTACGGAAATAACGTGTTATTCACACAATCGTCTCAATCAATTTAGCAATTGGATGAAAATTAATTATGAATGTTTTAAAGTAAAAGAGAAGCCACATCACAAAACATACCAACTTGGCAACATAATCATAATTCAAACTCAAATTCCATAAAACAAGGGCAAAATATGAACAAGAGAAAGATTTACACCGAGAATAAGACCAGTTGTTGCGGAAGAGTAAGCGTTTTCTGCTTCATCGATGATACCACTATGTAAACTTTGGACATTCCAAGTAAGCAATGTCATGTTCTCAAATGAGAACAAGGTATACAAAAACGGAACCAATAAGCAAACTAATGAGCATCAAACATGCCCAGCTTCATATCACACGAAGAAATAGAATATTTCTCAATGAGGTCACTTATGTAAAAGAATATTCCTAAAATTTCAAAATTTCACTCACGTGCCGCGCTGTTTGACGATGCAGTTACTTTCGATTTGTATCCGTTGTGATCAGGAATTCAGAGTTGGAAATGATAAGAGGTCTTTCATACTAGCATATTACACCATTACACTGTTACATGATAAATGATTGAGGAAATCGGAAAGAAGGGAGTTTGTCCTTCGCCTTCAGTTCATGAGGTAATGAAGAAAAAATGCCCTCGTCTCTGAGTGACGTTTCCATGGAAATGTTTAAACCTGATGGGATGGAACTGGTAGAATCAACGACTAACATAAAATGACATTTCTAGCGACATAAACAACAGACCAAACGATAATCGATAACAGAGCAAACGATGACGGACCCAAAACACGTCATAATTGTCAACATTTAGACATGTCTCACCAACACATAAGGATCTACAGCGGTGCAGATACGTTGACGTATAATCTTACTACTTGTGGGGGAAATACCAGCGAGTAAACCATTCTGGTATATCTCCCGTCCATCGTGGGAAGCGTTCGACCACGTGTGACGTAAAATACCCCATTGTGAAAACGTCAACATGGCAGCTCCCCGGCACGCGGCCAGGTCCCAGTATACGGGTCATTGGCAACAGCTATCTACAAACAAGATATAGGCTTTACGGCTTGGTACACATAATGATGATGATATAGATAAAATGTAGAGACCGATAATATTCGAGTCGCTTATTTTTAAAAAGATGCACACCTAATTATGTCACAAGTGAGATATCTAATGCCATCTTCTACAAACAATGCAGTCGTTGTTAATGAAACTATTGTTTCATCATTTGTGTGTTGTTAGACTTAAAGCATAGAACTATATAGGGTATAGTGTATATCTATT